CAACCCCACGCAAACCTGCAACTCACTCGAAGGTGAGCACAAGTCACACATTCGGTGGGTTGGGGGCATACAAACGCCCCACCACCACCTTGCTTCCAACACACGTAATCTCCAACAGCATCCCCACCGTGCAAGCCGCATCCCCACCGTGCAAGCCGCATCCCCACCGTGCAAGCCGCATCCCCACCGTGCAAGCCGGTAGAGGTGGTTGAGTCCAAAGGAACGGAGCGTCTGATTGCGCACAGCGGGGCATGAGGGGAGAGACCAACGCACCCTGCGACCAACGCACCCTGCAACCAACGCACCCTGCGACCAACGCACCCTGCGACCAACGCACCCTGCGACCAACGCACCCTGCGACCAACGCACCTTGAGAGTTCGCGATGGGCTGTGCGAGCGACGTGCACGGCAGGCAGCAGCATGCGAGCGCCGCAACGAGCGCCAAGAGACCGCGACGGGAGCCGCGATGCACCGCCATGGCCGGCAGCTTCAGGCGTCCGGTCGACTGCGGCAGGAGCAACGAACAGCAGACTTGTCAGTCTTTTCTAGATTGTGCACCCCTTGTGCACCACTACTAACCCCTTGTTCGGCACCCAACAAATTGTGCAACTACCGCAACGTGCAATTCGAACGGCCTGAAAAGGGACGTGGAGAATCTGTCGCACCGAGCTATATTTCGGCCGCTCTCTCGCGTGATAAACACCAACAAGAGCCTGGTGCGGCGAGGTGACTTCGGTTCAGAATGGTGCTTCGAAACGGACGGCACGCGCTATTTCGCCTTGCCTACTAGCGCGCTCGTTCACGGAGACAGGGAGGGGATGGAGCAGGGAGCAGCACAGACTCTGTGCTAAAAATGGGAGCAGATGGGGACAAGAAGGTCGTAGCGAGAATGTGGACTATTATGTGACGACGGGAACAAGGCAACGTGTCGTGCCTAACACGGAATGGCATGCTACCAGCCGCCATTATATCTCTTCGTTTCGCCTGACCCGCGGAAGATTCCTTCCTAGACTGGAACCGCGCAACCGTGTTTGATAAGCCCAGCCCGAATTGGCGTGACTAGCCGGCTTGTATCGGACCCAGCGTCCCACAATTATTTCAGCCTTGTGGGACAAGTCTGACATGTTCACCAGCAATTATTGGTCCCGAAATTCTCGACATTAGCTCTCCTTCGAAACTCTTGAAAATGAAAATAAACACTAAGAAAATGCGACCGCAACAAACGTGATACATTATGGTGTGGTGCATTTTGTGAAAAGCGTAGGCCTTCTTAGCTTGAATTAATTTTTTAAATCAATTCCAAAAGAAGGGTCATGCCTTTTTCATACGCACTAAGTTCAAGGTGTAGGCAAAGGAACATGGAACTTTCAAACAACAACAGCGAATGCACCTCCGGCTTCCACACCATCACACAAGGGACGGAACTTCCATGCCATCACAACAGGCTATTTGCAAGAGCAATATCTTCATCCAGATTCCAATTTGGCACCATTTGCAACTCCACCTCTATATCCACCTGCCGGGCGGCGGAGTTGCTACGAACGCCGCCCAGCGCCACCAGCACGGCCTCCAGCTCGGCTGCAATCACCCCCATGGCCGGCCGCATGGCGCTCTGCTTGGCGGTGCATCGCAGTGCCAGCTGCACCACCCTCAACACCAACTCATCCCGCGCCTCCATGCGCGCTTGCTTCAGCCGTGCCACCACCGCCCTGCTGCCGGATAGAGCCAGCTGCTGCTGGACCTGTTGGTGGGGTTCAGCAGCAAAACATGTTTGTGGGGTTGGAACAACACGAGTTGAAGGGTGGGGACCATATTTGGATGCGTGAGATATGGAAGGAATGGGAAAAACGGAAGCACAGAAGCACGCCAGCACTTTCCATCCCCACGTGCGTCCCTAGGGAAGAATGTGCAGCTGCTGACCCGCCTCTTTGTCGGAGGGAATGGAGAGAGAATGCCAAAGCTGCACACTACGACACCCCGAGGACGGGTGAGCAGAGCACAGGAGAGCACAGGAGAGGAGAGGAGAGGAGAGGAGAGGAGAGGAGAGGAGAGGAGAGGAGACAAGAGAAAACCATAAGGCGCGCCCACCAACAGAAAGAAACCAACATAAAGACATTAGAGGCTCATGGCTCACGTGTAGACGTCAGTGGATGTGGTGGCCTTATTGGTTGTAGCATAGGAGGGGTCCACATAGCCCGGTGTTCCCACCACTCGAGTGCTCTGCACTGCAGTGCCCCCTCCCTTCCTCACAAGGCCAAAGTCAGAGACCTTAGCCTGCACTCATGGATAGAAGACAATGGATATGGGCAGGAACGGATGCATCGTGAATTCTATTGAAATCTGATGTCCATCCATGTGGATGCACTCACACCTCAAGTACATGAGGCGCATACACAGGCCACCCGTGTGTGCATGCCCGTTCATACTAGTGCATTTGGTATGAGTCTAGCTGCACGCCTGCCCCGCTTGCCTGCATGGTTTGGTCGAGCAGGATGTTGGCGGGCTTGATGTCGCGGTGAATGATGCCGAAGCTGTGGAGATACTCAAAGCCGCGTGCCGCCCCCACCAGCACACCCACCGGCTGCTCAAAGCTCAGCGAGGACACCGCCTCTGCATGGCGCACGGATGGGAATGGAGGGGTGGAGAGAGGAGACCGTGAGAAGCAGGCACGAAGGAGGCCTGTTTGAAGAGGCATACCTGGACGACTAATCGCTCAAATCTCAGCGGCGACGCTGCCTCTGCAGGGGGTGGGAACGGAGGGGTGGAAAGGGGAGACCTTCAGAAGTAGGCAAGGAGGGCTATATGAAGAGGTATACCTGGACGGCAGCCAACTAGGCGGGGGCATACCTGCAAAGCACGTGCTTGCACTATTAGAATGCACTGTTACAATGCACTGTTGCAATGCACTGTTAAAATGCACACCTTTCCCAACCCAGTGCGAGAGGTCTCCATCGGGCATGAGCTCGTAAATGAGGATTTGCTCGACCCTTGTCTTGTCGGTAATCCCGATTGAGAAGCCCAGCAGTTTCACGAGGTTGGGGTGGTGCTTTGTGGCCATCGTGCACACCTGCCAGGCAGGGACAACGGCCATGGGCACCATCGTAAAACACACAGTTCAGCAATCTACTTGACACGGCTGCCTACCACAATTGTGCTGCTATCTGTCTCGCACGCACACCTCGCACTAACAACGGTGAAGCACAGAGTGACACAGACGAGGGTGTAGAAAAAAGCCGATCTGTCTCACCTACAAGTTTTGAGGAACGCTGGATGTGCAGCACAACAGAGCAGAGCACATACGGCCACGGTGGCACACCTCTTTATCAAAGTCGGTGGTGACGGCCTTGGCTCGCTTCACGGCCCACGGTGTGGTGCCATCGGTGGGAGAGACGCCGCGGTACACATCACCGAACACCCCCGCGCCCAGCAGGTGGCCTCGGACCACGCGTTGGTTGCTTTCGCCACCGCCGCCAGTGAATACTCCTGACACACCTGCGCTGCCGCCTTGCTGCTCACCAGCGCTGTGGGGAGGAGGAGGAGCAGAGGCGGGAGAAAGAGGAGGCAGCAGATGCGACTCAAACTCAAGTTGAAAGGTGTGGGAATCGAAGTGAGGAGACGCCTTGGTGCTCACAAAGGCTGCAGAGGGGTCGAAAGAAAATGGGGTGGCACAGGGAGGTAATTAGAGGTGGAATAAGAGGAATATCCAGCAAGCATTATGGCAACCCAGAGATCCGATACTAAGGTAACCACAAGGCTCATTGCGTCGTGCCAGGGAAGCAAAGGTAGTGCGATGTGGTACACAGTGTGAGGTGGGACGCAGTGTGAGACGGGACGCACGTTTGTCAAAGCAGTAGATTTAGGGGAGTGCAGCAAGCACTGCTGTGATAACAACACCCGCCACAATCCCCGCGATGACGCCCCAAGGAAGTGGCTTGCGCTTGCCGCCTATAGATGGATGAAATAGGGCGCGCGCGGCTCCTATTGCGGGGGCAGCTGCGCGTGCACGTACAGCTGCTGCGCGCGTCTGCTCGTGCGCGGCGTCGTGCGTGCGGCTGCGCGCGCTGGCGGAAGGGCAGGGTGCAGCACGGGACTGGGCAGGGCGCGAGCAGGGTGGACAGGGCGCGCGGCGGCGGTTTCAGGGCGCGCGGCGGCGGGTTCAGTGCGAGCAGCGCATGCCGTGCGTGCGCGCGAAGCTGCGCGTGCGTGCGGGGGTCTGCTGCGCGCGCGCGCGCTGCTGTGCACGTGCGAGCGGCTCCTACTGCGCAGGTAGCGCGGGCAAGCGGGGGGCAGCGCAGAACGTGGCGTTTAAGGGCGTCATGGGGCGTAAGGAGGCGGCACGGGGCATCACGGGGCGTCACGACGCAAAGGCCTAGAAGAAACCAAACTGATACCGTACCATCTGAGAAACTACTTAATTAAGTATTAGGGTAAAGGGGAAGTACAAGAAGACTGTCGAGAAAGTTTGTGTACCCCCTAGAATGCAACTCACTACAGCCTATCTAAACTATATAACATGCTTTGACACTACCTAGGCAGAGCTTCCGTCAAAATGCTGTGGCGCAGCTGTGAACTACCGTATCAGATTCCTTCAACCAATGCATTCACATACGCAATCTGCGCATCCACATCCAAAGACAGCTGTCTCTCAGACTCCACCTGCTGGTCCACCTGCCGGGCGGCAGAGTTTCTGCGTGCACCGCCGCCCAGCTCCACCAGCACGGCCTCCAGCTCGGCTGCAATCGCCCCCATGGCCGGCCGCGTGGCACTCTCCTCCTCGGTGCATCGCAGTGCCAGCTGCACCACCCTCAACACCAACTCATCCCGCGCCTCCATGCGCGCGTCCTTCAGACTCGCCACTTCCTCGCTGTCGCCATATTGAGCCAGCTGCTGCTGGACCTGGTGGGGTACAAGCAGGTTTCAAGATGAGACACTGAAGGCATGTGCATGTGTGAGAAAGAAGAGCAGAAGTTCGGCTACGGTGGCATTCTCTAGCGACGTACCCAGGGAAGGATGTGCAGTTGCCGACCCGCCTCATTATTGGAGGGAATGATGAGAGAATCGCTCTTGACGGGGCGGCCCGTCATCACCTCAAGCATCACAATGCCAAAGCTGCACACCAAGACACCCCATGGACGAGTGAGGAGAGGAGAGGAGAGGAGAGGAGAGGAGAGGAACGTATGGGACACGTGCAGTGGTAAAATGCTGGAGCAATCAGGGGGTTATTGCTGCTCACCTGTAGACATCAGTGGCGGTGGTGACCTTATTGGTTTTAATATAGGAGGGATCCACATAGCCCGGTGTTCCCCCCAATTTCGTACTCTTCGCGGTGGTGGCCTCGCCCCTCCTCACAAGCCCAAAGTCTGCAATCTTGGCCTGCACTCATGCATAGAAGACGGCTTATTTTAGCATGCACTCGCACACTAAGTACGACAGGCATACACACAGGCCAATGCATGCGGAGCTGTGGTAGCGATGCAACGTGACTTGCCTGCATGTTCTGGTCGAGCAGGATGTTGGCGGGCTTGATGTCGCGGTGAATGATGGGGAAGCTGTGGAGATACTCAAAGCCGCGTGCCGCCCCCACCAGCACGCCCACCCGCTGCTCAAAGCTCAGCGGGGACACTGCCTCTGCAGGGGAGAAGGGACGGGAACAGAGGGGTGGAGAGGGGAGGCCAAGAGACGTAGGCAAGGAGGCCGGTATGAAGAGGAACACCTGCAAGGCCACATGGAAAGTGACCCCTGAAGTTGAACAAGGTCTGAACACGGCTCTTGATACTAAAGCGCCAACAATGGCAGAGCACCTCCACATGTGCACAGCCATAATGCACACCACCTTTTCCGATCCAGTGCATGCAGAGGAACTAGTAGCAGCTCACTATTCCAGAATTATACCTTCTCCAATCCAGCGCGAGAGGTCCTTGTTGGGCATGAGCTCGTAGATGAGGATTTGCTCGACCCTTATCTTGCCGGTGATCCCGATGGCGAAGCCAAGTAGTCGCACGACGTTGGGGTGGTCTTTGGTGGCCATCACACACACCTGCCAGTCAGGGACAAAGGCAGAGCAAGTATTGCATATATGTCACGTTACACATGGTTCAAGACAGTCACTGTGTCCTAAAATGACATGCGACATGCCATGCAACGAAACATTCATGCAATCTCATGCCATGCCATGATGCCATGAGCTGGCCACTCTGAATAGAGAACTAACCCAGCATGAGGCAGCATATCAGCACCACAATACACATATGCACGCGCGCGAGCGCTTGCGTGCTCGCACATTCACGCTCACACACACACAGACACACACACACACACACACACACACACACACACAGAAACACACACTCACACACGCACGCACACACATCACACACACCTCGTTGTCGAAGTCATTAGTGATGACCTTGGCTCGCTTCACGGCCCACGGCGTGGTCCCATCGGTGGGAGACACGGCACCGTAGACATCGCCATACGCCCCCGCGCCCAGCAGGTTGGCCTCGGACCATCCGTTGGTTGCTCTCGCCACCGCCCGCAGCGGATACCGCTGACACACCTGCGGTGGCACCTTGCTTCTAAGATGCCCTATCAGGAGGAGGAGATTTTGGAGAACCGGGGAGGCAAGGAGGATAAGTGAAAGCGAAGAATGTAGTAGTAGGTGAGTTTAGAGCCGACTCAAAAGACACCTTGTGATAGGTTAGCGTTTCTCCTAGCCATCTCATTGGAACAATCCCACATGAGCGCACAAGAGTGAGGAGCAGAGCAGCACAGAATGAAAAACCCCGGGTCTACTCACTGTAAAAGAAGTGGTAGTAGAGAATGACAGCGAGGGCCACGGCAGCAGCAACTCCAGCAATGACGATCACAATGACGGCCGAAATGGGGAATCCTGAGTTGGAGGTTTCTGTATTTGGCGCTGCAGGTTTGGGTTTGTCACCTGCACACAGATAGAGGTTCAAGTGCTTGTACAGTTTTTTTTGTTTTTGTTTTTTTGTTTTTGTTTTTTTTTTTTTTTTTTGTTAATCACATAATGGGGGTACAAATTTACCGGGTATCGCAGGCCTGGTGTATTGTTGATGCAATGATTCAAATCCCTTAGGCCTTTTTTTGTGGTGCATCGCAGAAATCTCGAAAGAGAGTGACTCGGAACAAAGGCACCGAAATTAGCACAGACAGACAAACATGTTTCCCCAGGGGACAGTGGTAGGGCTCACATGTGGCACAGAAGTCAGGGCAGGTGCGGCAGAAGCCAGAGGACGCATCCTGAGGCACACCACAGCTGGTGTAGTTGTCGGGGCACTTGAGACCACTGGTGTTGGTGTCTCTGATTATGCCAAGCCAAGGAGGAAAAAAAAAAAAAAAAAAACACACACACAAAACAAAACCAGATTACTAAGAAAAGACGAAGTTCGCTATTCCTCCAGCAAGGCCTTGAACCTAGAGGAAGGAGTGGGTACAGGCTCGTTTCCTTCCAGCTGCTTCCCATAAAGTCAAATTGATCTGCCATGGAGCCTAGGTTCCTCGCCCATTTACTTCAGAAAATGCACCCATGATCTAGATGCTGCTTAGCTAGATGCTGCTTAGCTAGATGCTGCTTCGCTCTATTCTGCTTAGCTAGATGCTGCTTCGCTCTATTCTGCTTAGCTAGATGCTGCTTAGCAAGCTGGCTGCGAATTAGCTGGCTGCTACAAGACTCATGAACAGTATTTTTGTTCTTACGTATTACTTACAAAGATGAGAGCTTGTGCAACTTTCCCAGGACTGAGGGAATGGTTCCTTTCATGAAGTTGAAAGCGATGTTTCTGCACACGTGCAAGTTGTGGAGGATAGAGGGATTTGGAGGTAATTGATGGGAGTACTGTAACTTACCCTTGCTACTGTAAGGAGGTATTCAGCGTGCAAGAACATTACGTGGCATGGAACAGGCATAGGAGCAGTAGATACAGGAAGACTTCCGGCCATTTTGTTGTTTGAGAGATTCCTGATGGCACGCGCATGCAATGAGGAGGGGCACGGAGCATGAGAGGATATATTTTGACTCCACAAATGTAGACAGCTGGAGAAGGAGAAGCTTCACGAGTGGGGAAAGCAGAAACAGGGTCCGGTGCAATGGCAGGTGCAATGGCAGGTGCAATGGCAGGTGCAATGGCAGGTGCAACGGCAGGTGCAATGGCAGGTGCAATGGCAGGTGCAATGGCAGGTGCAATGGCAGGTGCAATGGCAGGTGCAATGGCAGGTGCAATGGCAGGTGCTATGGCAGGTGCTATGGCAGGTGCAATGGCAGGTGCAATGGCAGGTGCAATGGCAGGTGCAATGGCAGATGCAATGGCAGGTGCTATGGCAGGTGCAATGGCAGGTGCAATGGCAGGTGCTATGGCAGGTGCTATGGCAGGTGCAATGGCAGGTGCTATGGCAGGTGCAATGGCAGGTGCTACGGCAGGTGCAATGGCAGGTGCAATGGCAGGTGCAATGGCAGGTGCAATGGCAGGTGCTATGGCAGGTGCTATGGCAGGTGCTATGCATGGCAAAGAACGGCTGCAGCAGCAGCAGCAGTGGTGTATGCACAAACTAGTGCAACAGCGTCCGCCAATTTTGTGATATCTTTAGACAAATTTCACCACAGAGGACGAATGGCAGCATTGAATGCAGCATGAGCACGGGTATCCGCCTGAAACACATACAATATTTGCAAGGTGGGCAGGGTGATGTTGGGCAGCACTTGGTCGCCAACCAACTGGTTGGACGAGAGATCCCTGTTGATTCATCCGACCCCGCCACACATGCACACACACACATGCACACACACATGCACACACACATGCACACACACATGCACACACACACATGCACACACACATGCACACACACATGCACACACACACATGCACACACACATGCACACACACATGCACACACACATGCACACACACACACACACACACACACACACACACACAAAGCAGGCAAGCACACACACAGACAGAAGAAGCAGGCATGGTGAGAATGGTGATGCGGGCACAAGAGGCAGGTCATTTTGGAGCTGTTGAATAAAAGCAGACATGCGGACAAGTGGGGGCATGGTGATGGAATGAACTGGGCAGCGGCGAGAAGAATTAATCGGCAATGACCATATTGACCGTACTGGAAGCATGACCAGTTGCAGACTTGAATTGACATGACACCATGCCCGGGTGGGTCGACATACGCGAGGGTCCATTCATGCGTGATGTGCGCGCCTAGGGCAAGGGATGATGCAGCGGAGTGGACTGACAGAGATGTAAGGCTGGTCAGACTCTTCAGGAGGTGGTAGGCTTCGAGTAGGTTGGAGCTCACTTTTGAGTCGACTAAAAATGCAGCGGAGTGGACTGACAGAGATGTGAGGCCGGTCAGACTCTCCAGATAAATGAGGTTGTAGGCCTCGACTAGGTTGGAGCTAAGATTCCTGCCATGCCGTGCCGCAGGTGTGTGTGTGTGTGCGGGGAAAATTTGAAACGCAGGGGGGCGCACAGACGAAGCATGGCAGTTATTGCGGATGCTACTTGAGAGCGGACATGGACAATGGAATGCCGTGGACCTATTTGGAAGCTATTTCTATGATGTATCGCCACTCGCAATAATGAAGTAAATGCTCAGAGTGATCCCATGAAGCTCGAATGCATGCGTCTTCCTTATTCACCATACAGACACGGAGGGGCTGGGGAGAGACAAGCGCACGATGATACAGCAGGGCGGGGCACACAGGTGAATGGCAGAGCAGCGCACAGTTTCACGAGCCGGGGGAAGGCGTTGCTGCTGACATCTCCAATGAACGTTATGCTGTTTGATGGCACGTCTCTGCACAGGAGAGGTGTGTGCCACGTTAATGAAAGATGAGTACACAAACGGAAGCAGAAGCAGAGACGCTGGGGTGCAGGAGAGGACCACCCACGGGAGTGCAAGGGAGGGAGGAGTGACGGGGAGAAGCGAAAGGGAGCGCGCACACTGATGCAGGTGTATGCAGGGAGGTACGAGGACTCTTGCTTTCAGGTTCTTAGGCTAAAATAATTTGGGCTTAGTAATTCGTGTGGGGAACAAGTATGGGGAATGAGTACGGAGAACGGGTGTGGTGTGGGGAACGGGTGTGGGGAACGGGTGTGGGGAACGGGTGTGGGGAATGGGTGTGGGGAACGGGTGTGGGGAACGGGTGTGGGGAACGGGTGTGGGGAACGGGTGTGGGGAATGGGTGTGGGGAACGGGTGTGGGGAACGGGTGTGGGGAACGGGTGTGGGGAACGGGTGTGGGGAACGGGTGTGGGGAACAGACGTGGGACTCACAGATCCAAAAGGCTGGTGAGGCGAGTTAACCTGTCAAGGTGATCACCAAATCCACAGTTGCTGATCCTCCTGTGGGTCATGCACCGCAACGTATCCACAAGGAAGGAGCAAATGGAACGTGTTCTCATATTACAGTCCAGTGCACAGCACGTGGAGCAATCTCATGCCGTCACCCCTTTCCCCATGCCATGCCATGCCATGCCATGCCATGCCATGCCATGCCATGCCATGCCATGCCATGCATGACTGCGACATACATACATAAGCGTGCCATTTGTAACTGTGTTTGCTCTCATTGTGTGTGCACCTGGTGGTGGGGCGGGCTCACAATGCTCGCATGAGCAATGCGCAACGTCATGCGCGGGTGCTTTACAGCCTAGTGAGCTGGGTGACGTTGAAGTGATGAGGCGAATCTTTAGTTCTGAGACGGATCATTTGGTGCCCCAAAAATTGTTCCATGAGGCACCCAACCCACACACGTGCTTACAGCCTAGTGAGCAGGGTGAGGTTTGCCAACCCATCTGGGATGCTGTCTGTCATGTATGGCAAGCAGTCCACCGTTCTGCAGAAAGAGGTGCAGCAGACACATAAAATGCATCAGGCACCTAAAATGCATCAGGCACATAAAATGCATCAGGCACATAAAATGCATCAGGCAAATCAGATGCACCATGCAAATCAGCAAATCGAACTTCGTTCGTATGACACCAAACTACCTCACTCGTATGACACCAAACTACCTCACTCGTATGACACCAAACTACCTCACTCGTATGACACCAAACTACCTCACTCGTATGACACCAAACTACCTCACTCGTATGACACCAAACTACCTCACTCGTATGACACCAAACTACCTCACTCGTATGACACCAAACTACCTCACTCGTATGACACCAAACTACCTCACTCGTATGACACCAAACTACCTCACTCGTATGACACCAAACTACCTCACTCGTATGACACCAAACTACCTCACTCGTATGACACCAAACTACCTCACTCGTATGACACCAAACTACCTCACTCGTATGACACCAAACTACCTCACTCGTATGACACCAAACTACCTCACTCGTATGACACCAAACTACCTCACTCGTATGACACCAAACTACCTCACTCGTATGACACCAAACTACCTCACTCGTATGACACCAAACTACCTCACTCGTATGACACCAAACTACCTCACTCGTATGACACCAAACTACCTCACTCGTATGACACCAAACTACCTCACTCGTATGACACCAAACTACCTCACTCGTATGACACCAAACTACCTCACTCGTATGACACCAAACTACCTCACTCGTATGACACCAAACTACCTCACTCGTATGACACCAAACTACCTCACTCGTATGACACCAAACTACCTCACTCGTATGACACCAAACTACCTCACTCGTATGACACCAAACTACCTCACTCGTATGACACCAAACTACCTCACTCGTATGACACCAAACTACCTCACTCGTATGACACCAAACTACCTCACTCGTATGACACCAAACTACCTCACTCGTATGACACCAAACTACCTCACTCGTATGACACCAAACTACCTCACTCGTATGACACCAAACTACCTCACTCGTATGACACCAAACTACCTCACTCGTATGACACCAAACTACCTCACTCGTATGACACCAAACTACCTCACTCGTATGACACCAAACTACCTCACTCGTATGACACCAAACTACCCGTAACCACAGTGGAGGAGCAGACGTGTAAGCGGGAAGAGTGCACCAGGTGGAAGGGTAGAATCCCTTGGCAAGGCAACCCTCTCCCCCCCCCTTCCCGTCCGCGCGGGCGCTCACACACACACAGACACACACGCACACACACACACACACACACACACACACACACACACACACACCACAGATAAATATCCGTTCAGCACTTTGCTTTCGACTGCCTAGAAGCAGCGTGAGAGCACGCATGAGCAACCCGTGTGTACGGCAGGGGCGTACAGCTGGGTGAGGCGAGACAACTGGGTGACGGAGGCGGGATAGAAGAACACCACATTCAACGTGTTGAAGCTCCTGCGCACAGGAGGGAAGCGATGGGCGTGAAAGGGGGATGGGCGTAGCAGGGGGATGGGCGTTAGAGGAATATGAGCGTTCGGGTGGGGGAAAGTGCGCGTTGCGGGTGGGACTGGTGCTTGTGTACTGCGGGATGGGCCAGCCATGCCACGATTGGGTGTCTGGGCGTCTGGGCGTCGCTACAAAGAGCAATAGGAGCCCTGAATGAATGAAGCCAGGTGATGCCAGGATAGAAACAGGCCCACACGATTACAAGCGGGAGGCGCAGGGCGTGAGGACAACAGGGCGGCTGTGAGTGAGTGAGCTCAGTCTGAATCAGGCGGTAGAAACATGCACGCCGAGTTCGAGCTAACGTGTGTTGGAGGGGAAGTTTAACAATGTTAACAATGTTCGCAGCTGGTGCGGCGGCGAAGAACTGCCCAGCACAGCACAGCAGGGCGCGGTGCGGACGCACATGGAGGTGATCATGCCGTCTGAGTCGCATGTGAGCCCATCCGCTTGTGTGCAGTCGCTCCCCGCCTGCCAACCTGTGAAGTTTGTGTACCAAGACGTCTGCAACTTCTGCAGCACAGAACCTGCCGCGCAGCAACGGCAACAGCAACCATGCAGGCGACGGGGGAAAGGTCGTGAACGACCGTTGGCTGTGCCAGGATTGCTAGCGCGGGGGGGTGCACTAAGTACGTGACGGGCTCTCTCTACAAGCGTGCCACAGTGCCATGATCCCGCCATGCAACCCCGGTATCCCCACTTGCACGCCGCATCCCCACCGCGCAAGCCGCAGTATCCCCGCCGTGCTAGCCGCATACCCACCGCGCAAGCCGCAGTATCCCCGCCGTGCTAGCCGCATACCCACCGTGCAAGCCGCAGCGGGGTATGAGGATCGTGACCAGCGCACGTTGCGACTAGCGCACCTTGCGCCCAGCGCACGTTGCGACCAACGCACGTTGCGACCAACGCACGTTGCGACCAACGCACGTTGCGACCAACGCACGTTGCGACCAACGCACGTTGCGACCAACGCACGTTGCGACCAACGCACGTTGCGACCAACGCACGTTGCGACCAACGCACGTTGCGACCAACGCACGTTGCGACCAACGCACGTTGCGACCAACGCACGTTGCCACCAACGCACCTTGCGATTCAGCGATGGGCTGTGCGAGCGACGTGCACAGCAGGCAGCAGCATGCGAGCGCCGCGACGAGCGCCACGAGACCATAACGGGAGCCGCGATGCACCGCCATGTAGCCGGCAGGTTCAGGCGGCCGCCTGGCTGCGATAGGAGCGAAGCAGGCTTGGCGGTTTTTTCTAGAAAGCCGCTCCTACCACCTTGTTCTGCAACCGATGGATCAAGACCACCGGCCTTTGTCAGATTTCTAACTTAAAGTTGAACTCTACCGCCACGTGGCAGTCGGACGGCCTAAAAAGGACGTGCCGGAACCTGCCGCGTGCTGCGCCGAGCTGAGTACGCCCCGTTGACTCCGCCACGCCGCCTCTCGCGATGCGCGCAGCTCACATGATAATCATGATGGCACGAGGGGTGAGCTGGATGCGTGTTGAGGCTTTTGAGGAATCTCAGGAGCGAGCTTATTTAGTACGTGGAGCTCCTAGAGTGAGAATGCCAACACAAACCCGGTACGGCGATTCGATTCCTAGCTTGGGTGGTGCTGCGGCTGGAACTAGTACAAACTCCGTCCGTGCTATTTCGACGAGGACGGCACGGAGTTTGTACTTCGCCTTGTTTGGCGTGCTCGTTCACGGAGACAGGGAGGAGTCAAACCACGTACGAGACAAGGAGCTCGCTGGTTCACGGAGACAAGGAGTCTGCTGGTCATGTAGGCGGCAAGAGAGGAAAAAGCGATCCGTGTACAGAACTACTCCGCGATAGTTACGACTGTGGATGGATACAACGCATAGTGTATTGCCTCCATTTAAAAATCTAAAACTACTACTCCGTGAACTGATGCCCTACTCCAAAATCTGCAGTTCCGCTAACGCTACATTGAAGTTACAGCGCGAACATGCATTATACACCAGCGCTAAACAGCCAATCTAAATACAATTTGTTCAAATCAACATTATTTCCTTAATGGCAATAATGCATTTAAGCATCTAAATCTTCTGTTGAGGAAAATCGCAGAAATACATTATGCAATGCATACATAAGACTAGAAACGGTGCAACCTGTAGCGCTTCCTCTTACGGCTGCACCTCCTCTCCTCTCCTCCCTGCCTCCTCCCCTTCCCCCACCCCAACCCACTGCATTCCCTCTTCCCCAACTCCCTTACCCATCCTCAACCGCGCGACGCCATGGCGCATCTACGGGGCGTGGCGGAGGCGTCGGCGCGGATATTCGGCAACGTGATCGGCAACGGGCTGCGGTCGGGGCACAAGGTGCTGAGCCAGAAGCTGATCGGCGACAAGGTCGTCGCGTGGTACCCCGAGCCCGTGCAGAAGATGGATCCGCTCTACGTCGACCCTACCGAGCCCAAGTACTTGCCTCCGCCTGCAAGCATTCCTTCTTCCGTCGTGAGAAGCGGTGTCGAGTAGATGCGATCGCCGTGTCCGTTGTGCCATGAGCTCTCTTCCTGCCTGCCTGCTTCCGCTTCTCCGCGTCTCCGCGTCCTCCGGCTCACTCCTCTCCCGCGTCATTCCCTCGTAACTCTGCCCGGTTACGCCACCGCCTCGCGTCCACCAATCCAGCATCATTCCAGTTGCTCCCCGTCTTGCTCCGCGTGTTCTTCCCTTACCTGCTGCTTTCTGCGACTTCCGTCGCGCCGCGTTCGTCTGTGATGAGTCAACTCCGAGGCACGCCTCGCTCGCCATGCGTTCTCCCCTTCACCTTTCCACCCCGTCCACCAGCCATGCGTGTGTCTTAGCTTGGAACCACGTGTTCTGCAATCAGCGTGTTTGAAACAACGTGTCTTGAAACCACGTGGTTTGAAATAACTTTCAATCCTGCTCCCACTGTGTGTACTCCTGTGTTCCGGACGTGGATGCTCATCGCCCCTCTTCCCAGTGTGTGCACTCCCTCCTTTGTTTCAACATCCCCGCGCACATACGTGCACACCCCACCCTCGTGCGCGACGGACATAGATACACTCTCAGTCTTGCACAATTACTCAACACCATACACATCTGCCCTTGATGTTGTAGTCACAACTACCTTTTCTTTCCCTCCCTTTCCCACTCCTCCCTACTTCCCTACCCCCCTCTTCCCCCCTCTCCCCCCTTCCTTACCCCCCTTCCCTGCTCCCAACCACCCACGTTCCCCATCGCCCTCTCTCCACCACCATCTCCTACGTGGCTTCTGGCAGGCGAGTGCTCAAGATAGAGCGCATGAAGCGACGAGGCAAGGGTGTGCCCAAGAAGGGCGAGGGCAAGCGAGCAGGCAAGCGCAAGTGAGCGTTCAGCAGCAGCACGAGTACACGGGTTTTGAATGTGTCTCGGATCACGTTACATTGGTAGGGGTCAAAGGCAGAAGAGACTGTATAAGCAGGGTAGGGTGGTACCTACCGTAGATACCTGGGTAGTGTAGTGTGAGGGTTGAGTAAATAGAATGAAGAGCGGGGCTGATTAGTGCGCTAACAGCTTTGTTAGTGTATTTTTAAACGGTTAGAAGATTGTGCCTTTGGCTAGAATGAGCTGTCTTTATATTATGTTGCAAGTGTTGATGCTGTGAGATGAGGTGAGATGAGATGAACCTCGGGGCGTGTTCCTATGGCCTCCTATGGGAACCACCTCTTTGTCAAGCTCGCGTCGCGTTGCACCGCACCAAAACACACCTATGGTAATCACAATCAGCCACATCTGAAATTCAATCAACCACCCAAGTCTGATACCTGGGAGATGTTTGATGATGCGGTAAGAGGCGCTTGAACACACCCTCATTGTATAGATTTATACCGTTTAACATGCAACACAACAGCAAGGAGTGTCTCTGACTCGCAGCAGGGATTCGTGTTCTGTACACACTGCGGCAACTTTATAAGCTGGTACTACGGTCTCAGAATCTAAACACAACGGAATGAATGAACTAGCAAAGTGTTGGATACAAATAGGAAACCCTAGCATTTGTACCCTCTAGAATGCAACTCACTACAGCCTAGAACTATTATATTTGACACACCCCCATAGGCTAAGTGAGGGGCATAAAAAACAATCAAGGCAGAGAAACGGTCACAAGACCAGTCAGCAAGAAGCAAACAAAGCTCAGGGTGGATCTCAAGGACACCACACAAATTCCGAGCGCAGGCAAGCGGCCACAAGGCCAGTTCAAGGGTTCACTAAGATATATATAGGAAAGCACAACAAGCAGAGCAAGCAACAAGACTACAGCAACCGATGGCCTACCTTAACAAGCCCCAACTGCACACAGAACCTGTGGTGGTCACCAAGCGCTAGGGTTTTGGTGAAGACGTCTGTAGTGTTGGCATCTGAGGCCACAAAGTCCAAGCGTGCCTGGCCGCGTCGCTGCAGCTCTCGCAGGAGGAAGTACCTCACGTCAATGTGCTTCACTCTGCTCTCCAGTCGAGGCTCACAACACATGAGGATCATGGCCTTGTTGTCAGCGTACAAGGTCGGTGCAGAGCGAGGCCGCTCACCAAGGTCGGAGAGCAAGAAGGTCAACCAGCGAAGCTACTGTGCCGCCATGGCACCAGCATAGATCTCTGCCTCTGCACTGGAAGTAGCCACAGACGACGACCGTGTAGACCTCTACGACACAGCACCAGCTCCCAGACTGAAGCAGTAACCCTGAGTCGAGCGCTGAGTCTCCACGTCGTCAGCGTAGGAAGAGTCGCAGTGACCAGTCAACGCCACTGGCTGAGTCCCTCCAAGCACAAGCCCCATGCCTGATGTAGTCGCCAGGTACTTCGCCACCCTCACAGCAGATGTCCAGAGGACAGGACGGTGTCTCCCAGTCGCAACAAAGCGAGAAAGGATGCTGAGGGGAAAGGCGAGGTCCGGCCGAGTACAAGTCATCAGGTACATGAGGCAGCCCACCAGCTCTGCGTAGGGACCACTGGACTCAAAGGGCTCGTCCGGA